GTCCTTGGGAATCCTGCCCTGGGAGCCCTGTCCTTGGGAATCCTGCCTCTGGGAATCCTGTCCCTGGGAGCCCTGTCCTCGGAGCCAGGACCCACCAGGTGGTCAGGCTAGCTCTGAACCCCCCAACCTGAGCCCAGAGACCTCCCAGGCTCCCGGAGCAGCCAATGTCCATGTCCCAGGATCATTCCCACACGATTCCCCGAATGCTGCATGTGTGCATGGGGGCCCTGACCGAGCAGCAATAGCGGTTTTGTTTTCCAGGAAAGCCTTATTTGAGATGTAAGATATTTTGTAGGGCCAGTAGGAATATATTTTATGTACATGAACGGAAAGACTTACCTCAAAAATATCAAGAGAAAGGCAGTTGGATAAGGAATACTCTTGTGGAGCCCTACCTTGACACCCAGCACAAGCAGCCCCAGCTGCCAGCCTGACCCATGTTTGTGTGTTGCTGTAGTTTGCAATGAGACTCCAGAGAGCAGAGATGTGCTCAGTTGTTGTGTTGGTTTTTTTTTTTTTCAAAGCAGGATTTTGAAACCAAATGCAATGATGTGCATAGAGCTTAACAGGAAAAAAAACAAGCAAAACCAACAAAAAAAAGGTACCTTCTTGTATATTAGTGTTAGCTTAGGAAACAGGCACCAAAATGGCAATACTTTTTTAAGGCAAGACAGATTTGTAATATATTTGTTCACTGTGCAAAGGTATCCTACCTTGTACAAAATAAATTGAATTTCTCTCACCGTGTAGTTCTCAAACGTACTCATTTGCAGAGCAAAACTTTCAGCCCCTGCACAGGCCCGAGTTCTCCAGGTGACGTGGCTGCTCACGAAGGGGCTGCTCCCCCTCAGCCAAAAACCCCCACGGGCACCAGGCACAGGACAGAAAAGGCAGGATGGCTCAGAAAGGCCAGTGCTGTAACTCCAGATTAGCCTGGAGTAAGGCCCAGTGTCAAACCAAAAGGTAAGTGGCTCTTTACACCTTTCTCCCAGCAATGTGGGGGCAGTGCCAGCACCACTCACTGATGTTCACGTCCTGCACCTCAGCGGGGTGGGCACAGTGCCCTGGGCCACTCGCAGGTTCCCGGCCCTTCAGGGGGGTGAAGATCCAGCCCAGCACAGTCACCCAGCAGGAATGGCACACAGGACACATGGAAGCTGCCTCAGCAGCTCCCAGGGAGCCCAGTCAATGAATCAGGAGCACAGATCTGCAGCAGAAACACCTTCAGAGGGAATGACTCCCAGGCAAGGCAGCACTGTGACTGCTGGAGCTTTCCAGCATTTGTGCCTCACACTTCTGAAAATCTTGTTAACTAAAGCCCAGTGTGTAATCTTCTTATTTGACAAGACACACTCAATAAGCTATTTAAGGCTGGAAATTCATCAGGTTTGAACTGATGGAATAAGTAATTCCAGCTTAATAAAAATGTCTTTTAATCACAACAATTACATGTCCTTTCTGCTTAAGTCAGAACCTCAACTCCCATCAAACACAGGAGCCACTGATGCTCATGAACAGCTTCAGAAGTGATAGAATTGGGACTTTCAAATATGTAAATGACAGCAAAAACTTTTGGCAAGAAAGCCCATTTTGCAGCATTAAATGGAGTTCCCAGAATCTCAGGAAGCTCCTTTCAGGGCCCAAAGCAGTGTCTGTTGCCATCAGTTGTCTCCCATTAGCAGGGAAGAGACACTTCAGTGCACAAGTAACGCCAATTATGGAGCAGAATGATTAATCAGCAGCCAAACAGGAACAGTCCCCCTTGAGTCAGCATTCAGATGGAATAATGTCTTGCACTGTCTCTCCCAAAGCACTTTGGGAAGCACCTTCCTGCCCCTGGAGTGTCACCCAGCCCAGGCCAGCTGGGAGCTGCTGCCACAGCCCAGGGAAGGGCAGCACAGACCCCCAGAATGGGAGGCAAAGGCTTTCCCAGGTAGGAGGTCCCCTCTCTGTACATACACCACTGGATTTTCCTTTAGAAGTCTCAGCCTCCCACAGGGGTTTCTGCTCCCCCTGGCTGTGCTGCAATTCCAGCTGCTGCGGGAGGAAGAGTTTTGCCTAAAACCACACGAAATCAGGACCTGATGTGACAGCTGAGTCCAGTCACCTGCTTATAGGAATGAGAAAAGGAAGTGGAGTGAAACTTATCCTGTATTTCCAGATGACAAATTTAAAGCTTGGCTGCTGCAGGGAATTGGTTAATTCCAAAATATGCTCCAGTCTGGGCAGAGAAGGTGCTGCAAGAACAGCTCCCACAGTAATCCAGGACCAGGCTCACTCCTCATCCTCAGACCAAAACTGCACAGTCCCCAGAGCCACTGGCACTGCCCCACGTGCTCCGTGGGTGCTCCTGGCACCACTTCACCAGGACACCCCAGCGGGATCCCAAGCTTCCATCCTTTCCTGCAGAAGGAGCAGTTTGTATCCCACAGGATTTTCTTTCTCATGGCAATGTGGGAAAAAAAACCCCAGGTTTGTAAAAGCTATTCAGAGGTTTGACTGGAGTGAACCCACAGAATTCCTGAGTGTAAAAGCTCCCTGGAGCTGTCAAACTGCCCTGGCTCTGAACTGCAGCAGCCCCAGAAAGCTGCAGACCTGCTCTGAGGGAAGACAACTGTGTTACACGACCCTTCCAGGTCCTTTTCCAGGGGCACTTCCACTTTACAGTGTCTTCTCACTGCCTGCTCCAAGAAGCTCATCAGCTTCCAGTAAATAAAAACCTTCATGTCAAATCCCAGTCCTCCCAAAAAATGCACCCAACACCACAGTGAGTCGTCCCCTGTAATTCTTTATTAGAATCATGGATGAATATATTTTAAATCAATCTAAAAAAATAATGAATCAAAGTACAGTACATGCATAAAATACAAAGTAATTTACAAACAGATCAAAGGAGCATCTCCAGAACTAATACCAGGAGGAGAAATGGAGTAAAAAACCAAGAAGTGACCGACTACAGCAATGCCTTCCGTGTGCCTCACACGTCATGAGCACCGCGAGACAGGAGGGTTGGGATGGAACACAGCTGGAAGTGCCAACCGGATTTTGGATGTTCCACACCGGTCGTATCAGAGTTTGAGAAACATCCCCTACAATCCATTACTTCCCTGTAATTGTATAAATAACTACAGGCATTTACACAACAAACAGTTCCTCTAAACAGTGTAGGAATGCAGTGCCCGTAGCCCCAGTGCCAGGGTTGGCATGTTTAGGAATAGCAGAGAGGGATGTGCAGTGACAGAAGGCACAGTTCATGTATCCCTGAACAAGCGAATCCGACTGAGGATTTGTACGGAGCGACAGACAGCAGGAACACGTCCAGCAGGAAAACTACTCCAGATGGTTTTGTTCAAGAGCAGACAACAAACCACTGGAATAATTTAAAAATACTGGATCAAACAGAACTGAGAACTAAGGCCAGGTAGTTGAAGGTGTTGATTCATCAACTCAAGCATTCGAATATATTCATATAAGTGGCATGCATTAACAGGTGTGATATGTAATACGTGACAACATCCTTCAAGTCTGTGTCCCATAAAAAAAAAAAGGCATCCTCAAATCCTGATACCACCAGCACTGCGGGGGCCAAGCCTCAGGCAGCACAAAACCAGGCTGCAAGCTCCAGGGTTGGAGTGACCCTTCCCCAGGGACGCAGCTCCCTCACAAAGGGCCCCTCAGTGCAGCCCCAGCAGCTCTGCCTCACATCAACCTCCTCTGCAGCAGGTGCCAAACCACAGCACCTCAGTCACAGGTTGCCAGAACCTGCTGCTTGTTCTCGAGAAATTCTCTTTTCTCCCCCATAATACTCTACAAAACTTCACTTGACAATCTCAAGAAGCAGCCAAAAACATTTAACTTACATTAAAATTGCACTTCAGAGCAACGGGCGCTTGGCCAAGCTTTAGGTGCAGATGCAACACCTTCAGACAAGGAAAGATTATCCTGCCCAGAGATACTTTCCTTGTTAACCTGACAGTAATTGCTTTGTGAGGAGCAGAATAACGAATTCAAGTGCTCACTAAAGGTTCCTGTGCTCTGACTAATGGGCATCATGTTGGGAAGAGATCAGTTGAGTTCCAAACAATTTACTGACCCCAAACCGACAAGCCAGCGTTGGGAAAATACTGCAGCCACATCCAAGTAAGAGACTGATAAACACTGAAATCAAAGTGTTTTAAGACATGGAGAAATTCAGAAGGAATAAGCAGTGACTAAACACAAGAATGGAACCACGAGAATTACAAATATATTTAAATCTTGGACCTGGGGAATATACACAGCCTTTTAGGAAAGAATGGACAATTTATATATTCTGACAGCACTGCATCTTTGGTTTGTTTTCAGTGGTGGGGGGGACGTGGATGGGAACCACGTTGTTGCTTGGAGACATATCATTCTCACGTCTGTCGGACATTTGCTTCTGGGAGACAATGCGATAGATCTCTGCAGGGTGAGAAAGAGCTGATCATTATGAGCACACCAGCAAAATGCCATCCAGGACTCACACCTGGGGGGAACCAGGCAGAGCTCTGGGATTACATAAGTAACGCAGAGAAGCTTTCACAACAAGTTCAACTGCAGTGCTTTCTAGGTTCAGAAAATAAAATGTATTTTTGCAAAAGAAATTACTTTAACAACTGTTTTGCTTGCCTTGAGATAAGAGTTAGTAAATGGACAGAATTCACAAATTCCTTTGCTAGAAATCAGGAACTGTGTGAGCATCCATTTCTTCTGAAGGTCCTTAGTACTGTGGATGGGAGTCACATGTTTGCTCATGTATCCACAGACAACAGCAGGATTAAAGGGAACCACTCCAGATTCCTCTCCCTGATAGGACTGCAGGGGCAATTCCTTCTCTCTCAGCACACCCATCACGTACAACACCTTGTCTACCATCCCAACAGTTCTAAATCTTCAGAAAAAGTCGATTTAGGCTCAAAAGGGGAGACTGAGCCCCTTAAGCAGCACATAAAGCCTTTACAAAATGTGCTGTGTAAGAAAAGTGGGCTTCAAACAAAGAGATTCTGAACTCGGAGAGCGCAGGTTAAACCCCTGTGCCTTCCCAGCAGCTGCACTGAGAGCCCTGCCCAGTTCCTGGGGTTTGTTAGTGGCCAGTGATGCTGCACAGAAACTCAGAGCAGCTACAGCAACACTCACTTCAGCTGCATGGAGAAAGAGTAGAGCATGTGTAGCACTTCACCCCCAGAAAGGAAATAAAGCACACCAAAAATAGAACGTGGGGAACTCACTTGCAAATTTGAGTTTGAAAACCACAAAAGTTTAAAAAAAAATAAAAGCTTGCTAAAGGTCAGCTTTACAACAAGCTTGGAAGTGTTTCAAATCCAGCAAAAAGCCAACCCTGGCATGACAACATCCCATCTTCTGCTTTTTCACAGAGAAAAGTGTGCTGGCAACAAACACACCAGCAGTGCCAGCAGCAGAGCCCCCAGAGCAGGGGGCTGTGCCCACACCCCCTTTCCACATTCCATGCCCTGTCAGAAGGTTCCAGAGAAGCCCAGGCTGCCACAGACAGGGTGTCTGCACTTCCCTCCTGCACAGCAAAGCAGGAAGAGCCCAGCTCATGAGCAGCTCTGGCAAAACAAAGCGAAGGTCCAAGTTCTTTTGGGGGTTTGGAGTCTCATGTCAGCTGGATAATGACTGTCCAAACACACACATCACCTGATCCCAAACCAAGACATGGCATTTCCATTAGGAATTTGCCATTAGTGAGTAGCCTTTGTTGGGAATTTTGATGAGCTGCTGCTTAGTGCACATCCTGACATCATTTCTGGAAGTGGAGCAGCCTTGTGCTGAGAGATCCTCACACAGCTGAGTGCCTGTGATGGGATGAGATGGCACTGAGGAGCTGAACAGGGTCCCTGACAAGCCAGGCTTGAAAGCTGTCCCCCTGAGGCAACAAGCCTGCACTAATTTAAGCTGCCAACACAGAGGCCAAGTGCTCCCAGGAAGAGCAGGAGCAGGGCTGCACACATCCATGGGACTGCTGGCAAAATGGACATCTCTCATCGACACTGTGCTGGACTTATGGACTGCACAGGTAGCATCTACCTTGGGAAGAACTGGGCCTCCAAACTGACACCTCAGACTCAGACTGGGACAAACTGTTCAGAAAAGTGGATTTTACACATGCATTCAGTACAGATCAAGTCACTGAGGCAACCAGACAGGAGCTGCACAGGCAGGAGGATTTTCTGGTATCATCCTTCCCCGAGCTCACTCTTCTTTCCAACAAAGAGCCAAACAATTCTCAAGTTAAGTGACCCCCATGATAATAATAATGGCCCATCTTCGCGAACGAAGATTTGGGGAAAGGTCTTTTACCTTTCCAGCCTGCGCAATGGATTTTTTAGGTGAGTGTGTCACAGCCTGCGCTGAACTGAGCCCACCCTTTAATCCTAAGGTTCATCTGCCGGGGCCAAGCAAGCTTGGACAATGGCAGTGAGGTTCCTCAGGACGTAGGTTTGTTTAGAGTGTCCTTCTCATAGATGGATGGCCACACAGGGCTAACGACCTCCATCAGGCCAGGAGACCGGGACTTGAACCCGTGGTCGCAGCAGTGAAAGTCCTGCACGCTAACCACTAGGCCACCAGGGGTCTCGACCCCCATGAAATCAGACCTTTAAAGTCCCCTGCAGCCCGGTGTGGGAACGAGCAGATAAGGATCAGCTCAGCCCTGGAGAGCCCGTGTGTGAGGTGGGAGGAGCACAGCTGGATCTGCTCCCCATTCCTCGGGACAAGCCTTGTGCTCCACTGCCCTGCCCCGGCTCAGGGCTGACAGCCAGTTCACCTCCAGAAACAGAACAATGGCCTTTCTGAATCAACAGGAAAAGCCTCTTGCCACCTTTGTTACTGGGAACTCTCCAGTAGCACCTCCAGCAGCAGCCATTCTCAGTTTCCCAGAGAACTTCCTGAACGAGTTCATACAAGTCCCTACAAGAGCTGTCACACACTTCCTCCACCCCGTAAGCCAGGACTCACACAGGGGCACCGTGTAACACCCTCATCTGACAGCAAAGATCTTCAGCAAACAGCCCCAAAGCCCTAAAAACAATCTTAACAGCACCAGTTCCATTACTGACAAAGGCTCTGTCCCTTCTGACTCTGGGAATATATTCCCATAATTCCCACTTCCACAACCTGCCCAGCAGCCCTGCCAGTGAATCCCCTTCCAGCACTCCCAAGTTTGTTGCTCCCTGCTCTGCTTCTCCCCCCTCTGCAGTGCAAACTGGGTGCAGCCACAGCCCAGATACCAACCCCTGCCTTTCCCTGGGGGAGCTGCACTGCCACCACACAGAGCTGTGCTGCTGTGACAGGGGAGGGGGAACAGCCCAAAGCTGCTCTCACGGGGCAAAATGCCCAGCAGCAAAGCCTCCACTGGAACTGTGTGCAGGCCTAATGAAGATGTGAGGTTTTTAATGAAGCCACAGCACTTTGGGCTCTGCTCAGTGACTGAATGAGACCTTATTAAGGACACATTCAGCACCACTGCATAATGGGGGACTGTGAGAGACAGGCCTTGCACTGTGAGAGCTGAGAAAAAGGGACGTTGCTGCCCGGGCCAGCCCTTGGCTGCTCAGCCTGCACTGGGGTTTCATTCCTTTTCAGGTGTACAGAGAAAACAAAAGAGGAAATCCCTCGATTTTTTGATGTTAATTCTCTGATGTTGTTTCCTTGGTGATGGGATTCCTTAGAGATGAAACCACAGCAGAATGCAGTACGGGAACAGAGACAGCACAGAGCCAGGCAGACTCCAATTTACTTTAAGGATGCTTTATCCTGCTGTGAATGCTCAGAGTGGCTGGGATCATAATACCAGTCTCTCCTATTTGCCAGCTGATACAAAGCAGCTTTGTGTGCACAACAATCAGCCCTTGCAGGCTAGACGTCTTGGAACAGAAGAATTTGGATAGGGACCACTACTCTAAGCCACAGACAGGAAAGGTCCCCAAAACCTCCTCTGGAATCCACAGCAGGACAGGAAGCCCACTAAATGTACAATATAACCCCTCTAAAAGTTCTCTCCAATACTGGGAGAGGGAAGAAGAGCTTTTATCCCTTCTTCCACCTGTAGCAACAGATCACATACTCACTTAGGCTGTGCTAACTACAAAATGGACTCATATTTCCCATGGCCAAAGCCATTCAAAGTGGCTTAATCTGAAAATCCAGGTGTGGGTAAGTTTAACATGGACCCTGCTACACCTCCAGGGGAAGAACTCTCACAAGTTTCCAATACTGCCCCAACCACAACAGCTTCAGGAGGGCTGGAAAGAAAGGGGGGGTTGCTGCAGACCTTGGCCATGACAATCTGTAGAGGAAGGATCTCAGGAGCTGGGAGAAAGGCTCTGGAGCAGCCTGGGGTGTCTGTGGAGTAGCTCCCAGCACTGCAAATTCCAGCAGAGCTGGTGCAGCAGCACGTCCTGCCCCTGCTGTCACAGCCACCTCCGCTCCAGCCGCCGGCACTGCCTGCTGGCTTTGCCAACGTCCTTCTCCAGAGGACAGCCAGCATTCCACCCACAGGCACTGTGCTGGGAGGCTGCCCTGCCAACACACACCGTCCATGATCCTGCAGGGTGGCTCCAAAAACCACATTCCTCAGATGACTGCTCCCCTCTTTCCTTCAGAGCGAGCCATTAACAGCTAAAGGCAACTGTGAAGTGTTATCGAGGAGTTTATTGGCAGAACAGTCACAGCCCAGATGGAGCCGACCTGCTGCTAAGGCACCATTTACTTCATCTTTATCTCCCTGGAACAGCAGCTCCTGTCTGGAGAGAGCCACATGCCCACTAATCACAAGTGTTTCTTCCAGCACAGTTGATCTGACCCCTCCTGAACAAGGATCCTGTCCACAGGCCCAAGAGCTCTTTGCCCTAAACATTGTCACAGCAACGTGCAGGGCACTCTGACATCCATGGAAAAGCAACAGCCTTGGCAATGTGTCAGAGTCCTCTGAGGGCAAGTTTTAATCACTTGCTTACCCATTATGGACCACTCTGCTTACAGAAATATTAAACCAGGGGAAAAAAAAAAAATCAAACTTTCACCAATTAGAATCCAAACTAATTTCTGGAATAAAAGGTATTGCTGGAAGCATGTGAGGAGAGAGAAAGCACAGCCTGGCTGTGGCCAAGAGGTGAACTGCTCCCCATGGCAACAGCAGCGCATCCTCTGAGCATCACAGGGCTTTGAGGGAAGCAGCAGCAGCCCAGGGCACACAGGGAACTTTCCACCTCCTCAGCATCACTCAGAGAACATAATGGTCCAACAGCAGATGGGGACAGCGAGGTGGCCAGTTTATACTGGCTGTGACAGCCTTGGGAGGGAACAAACACTCCCTGAGATACTTCATGTTGTTTTATTAGTGCTGGTGTACGAACGTTAATTAACTAACCTGCATCTGAGAGCCCCAATCCCCTCTGCAAGCAGAAGAAGCAGCAAGGCTGTTAGTTCTACATGACACACAGCACGTCTGGCCAGAATCTGACCTCAAAGCCTGGGTGCTCCTGAGAGAAGGGACACCAAGGACACAGGCCCGAAGGAAGAAGCCTCAGGTTTAGCAGTTATAAATGTGCAATGTCCTTCTCCTGAAAAATCCATGTGCATTTTTGACAGAACTGCCTTTAGGCAGGTGAAGAAAACAGGAAATGCAGCAGGCATCCCAAGAGCACTGCACTCAGCCACTCCTTAGTCATCCACCCTCTGATGGCAGTTAGTCATGTAGGGAGTCAATGTATAAGCTCACAGAACTTCTCTCTTTGTCTTTTTCAATTTGTGCAACACTGAATAACAACCAAATGACTACACTGAAGTTAAAAGGGAACCACGTGGCTTAACTAAAGAGGAAAAAAAAAGTTCTTTATTCATCTACACTTTTAGCTGGTGTCTGCACAAGAGCACTTAGGAACCCACTGTAAAAACACAATAGAATCAGAACTGTTGGAGGCTTCTTACAACCAAGGATAAGACAAGAAACAGATGGACACAGGTAGCTAATACCCCAGCAGCCTAACATCTCTCTCCAGTGCTAAGCTGTCCATAAAGTATTTCAAACAACTGAAAAAATGCTACAGACTTTATATTTTTACTGCAATAAAAAACTTTCTAAGCTCGATCCTCACTGTATTTTCCAAATATGGCTACCAAGTCCTTCTTAGTGTGTTTTTAAAAGAATGTCTAAATTAGCTGGCAAAGAGGAAAACAAATTCAAATCTAGCAAGGTGCCAACGTCACAGCAACAAGATCTGATTAACAGACACACAGTTATAGTTCAGAAGTGGGGCCACTGCTCATACCAAGCAGATCATGTATCCTGGCACATGCTACATTGGGAAAGAGGGAGTTTAAATTTGCAACTGGAAAACATGTTGGAGGCACTCAGAGAAAACAGGGAGACTGCCTGGCACACCTAGACCAGAGTCACAACCAGAGGAGTGTCTCAGATGTTTGAAAGCTCAGACTAGAGATTTAGAGGGGCATTTGCCAAAGCTGGGAATGATGAAAGCTCCAAAACCACACAGGCCACTGCGTCCCACTGTGCCCTGGCTACAGCTGACAGGGAGCAACACAAAAGTCCCCTGACAGTCAGTGATTTCCACACCAATTTGTGAATTCCTACCCCAGCCTTTATAAGTCAGGGTTAAATTAAGGTCTCCCACATTGTTGTAGTTGAGTGTCTCAAAGTCTTAACAAGTTTTGCCTAACTAAACAAGGCTTTAAACAAAAAGGAAGTACTTTGTCCACAGAGCATAAAATATGCAGCACTCACTGCTGTCACATGTTCCACAGGCCAGAAGTCCAGGCAGGACTATTAAATGCAATGACAGCAACTTCCCTGCAGCTCAGGAGTCACTGTGTCTCCAAGGAAGGATCTCTGCTCTTTCATCCCTTCTCCCTTGGCAACTGCTGTGGGCACCATTAAAGATGGAGCCAAACTAAATTGACTTCTCCTTTGATAAACAATGGCTGTTCTAACCTGATGCCTGCATGAGACAATTCCCTCCCGTGGGCACTCCCTGTAATGGGAGATGGAAGCTGAAACACAAACCAGGCTGACCAGAAACCTGGGGCAGATCAAAGTGAGCGAGGATTCATTCCCGAGTTCAAGGCTGGCCCTTCAACTGCGACACTTTGAAACTGGACTCCAAATCTTAGGGCTAATGAAGAATGATTGAATAGCAAAATTTTTAAACACTTTATAGGCAAAGAAAGCCCCATTTGCATCATATCTGAGCAGCCTTCTGCCCTTCCCCCTTGCAACACAAAGCACTGGATGACTCACCTGTCAGAATAGTCTGGAAAGCTGCTTCCACATTTGTAGAGTCTAAAGCAGACGTCTCAATAAATGACAAACCATTCTTCTCTGTGTGGACAGAAATACCATAATTAGAGAGGTATATCATACATCTGCTTCCCATCTGGAAAAGCTTCTGTGCCAAATAATATTTGTAGTGTTCCCGATGAGACACACGGGTATCAAGAGAAAGTATAACAAGTTGTGGGGTTTTCCCCTTCAGGTGATCTGAAAGTGATACCACCCAACAACAACAATAGAATTTACACCCATCCCCAAGAACAGGGATCAGCCCAGTGCTGTGTTACTTTAAGGCACAACTTCCTGCACTCCTGAAAAGGAGAATCTGTTACAGTTTCAAGAATTGTGTGAGGAAGTTTCCTGGATTTTCTTTAACCTCATCTCCCACCTAGTATGTCACAGCAGCTTATTTAACAGGGAGGGGAATGACACTCCTCTAGCTGCAGGCAGGAATCCTCACTGGCCAGAAACTCTGCCACTGCAGCTACAGCAAGCCTTAATGTAAGAAATCCAGCTACACTCCTGGATGAAAAGAAACTGGGCCTAAAACAAGGCAAGATTTACAGAAACTAGAATTATTGTTCACAGACCTTAACTGTGCAACAAGAGCCACAAAGCCAGTTTAATGACAGTCTGTTCAGCCACAGTACCTGTGTGGGGCTGCAGATCAGCTGGGGCACTGAAGGCAAGACACAGGAGCAAAGCTGCCACCACACAAGAAACTCAAACCTACAGCCACAGGCACAGTTTCTGTGGGAGAAGCAGCGCACAGGCAAGAGAATAACTCTGGTTTAAAATTACCAAGTGCCTCTGGCTGATTCTTGAAACGACATGCATGTCCTACAAGGTCTCCTTTCGGACTGAATTAGCCGTGTGACACCGAGGGACACGGCCAGCAGCAGTTCTTCCCTCCCACCAGTGGACTGACACCTCTAGGGGCGGGCAGACAGATCCCCAGCCAGCACTGGGACGTGCCTCTGAGTTCACCCACCCGCGAAGGCTCTGGCCTCGTCCGTGGGGACGGCTCTGAGGTGGCGCAGGTCGCTCTTGTTGCCCACGAGCATGATGACAATGTTGCTGTCGGCGTGGTCCCGCAGCTCCTTCAGCCACCGCTCCACGTTCTCGTAGGTCAGGTGCTTGGCGATGTCATACACCAGCAGTGCCCCCACGGCCCCGCGGTAGTACCTGAGGGGAGAAGGGTGGGAGAGCAACGTCAGCGGGAGTAGAAGTGACAGGTTACTGGAAAATAGCTGTTATTGAGCTGCACAAAAATACCCAAAAAGCGGAGCAGCCAGACGAGGTTACAGCACAGGACCAGCAGAGCAGCACCAGGACAGCTCAGAGCCTCAAAACCCCATGTTTGTGGGGAGAACCCTCCATCCCAAAAATGGAACTCTGGAGTCAGTCACCTTCCACCCCTGATCCACCCCTGTGAAGTCTCCCCCCACCCATCACAGTGGGTGCAGTACGGGCACGGCCCAGAGTGATAAAGAGACTGAATGACTCACTGGATCATAAAAATGTCAACGTGATCTACTCCCTTCACAAAAGGCCACTTTAGGGCCCAAGAGGCACAGTAATGCATTGAAAAAGAAACAGGCTGTGTTCTCTCACCTCACAACTTCCTCCAGCTCTACTGAAATCCAGCTTTTGCTATGCTGTTTTTTTCCAATTAAACAAGCACACACAAAGTGAGCAGTCTTTCCTGGCTGCTACAGGAGGGTTTCTGCTCTTAGGTTACCACTGATAAAACCTCCAGGAACACCGATATTACTTTATCATTCACTTGCACTGAAACGAGTCTCTCAAAGCTCTTGCAATTCTAGGCTTGAAATGCCCCCATTTAGGTGTCACAAGAGCACAGAGCAGTAAATCCGTCTGCGCAGGGACACACTAGATCGAGTTTCTGGGCTGAATAATATTTAACCTTCCTCCCACCTCAGGCTGAGGATATTACCTGATAAAACACAAACACCCCCTGTTTGCAGCTCCTGAGGAATCGGAAGGGCCCACAACTCCCCTCCTCAGCCAAAGCTTCTCCCCAGCCACCCAGGGATCACTTACGCTGAGGTTATGGCTCGGTACCGCTCCTGCCCTGCAGTGTCCCAGATCTGAGCCTTTATTGTCTTCCCATCCACCTGAATGCTCCTCGTTGCAAACTCGACTCCAATGGTGCTTTTGCTTTCCAAGTTGAACTCATTGCGAGTGAATCGAGACAGAAGGTTGCTCTTGCCTACCCCGGAGTCTCCGATAAGGACAACTACAAGACAAGAGCAGCATAAGGATCAGATTCCAGATGCAGACGGTGCATTGACAATCACCTGCAACAAACATTTATTTTTGGGAATGAAGCATGAAAGAACAGAATGGCATGCTTGTCATGGATCTGCTGCCCAAGGGTTGGAAAACCAGAGCTGCCACATTCACCAGCATTTTGAACAGACACTAGACTGGACTTTTACTGGTTACATTTCAGTCTCCTTTGCCCAGCATGGAAGAACATTCCTCTTCCAGGAAGAATGTACAAGGCTGTCACTGCAAAAGTTGGGGACTGGTTAGATTTCACATCCTTGTAACAACATTAGAACTAAAAAACAAAACAAAATCCCCACAACCACACAACTGAAATCTGCTTTGCTTAAGAAGTTCAAAACGCAGGGCAAGCAGCAGAGTCTGCTTTACCACAGAAAAATCTGTGAATGAAAAAAAGAACCAAACCAAAAAAACCCCAAGGCCACCATCACCCTGAGAGACAGTTTGAAATGTTTGCTAAACCACAGCTCTCTGCCCTTCTGCAGACACTCTCTGCTGCTGTGGCTCCTGGACACATCAGGCAAGAACCTGGAACTACTCTAAAACAGTGCTGGGGTATCACTGGGATTCAGGATTGGAACCACCATCCACACCCTTCCCTTGCTCAGCTTGACTCATCCCAGCACCAGTGCCAAGCAAACTAATTGGAGGGATTCAGCTACACTTGACAAGAGAGCAGGAGGTTTAAAGTCCAGTTCCTTCAGGGAAAACAGTCATGAGGATTCGCTGCAATAACCTGTAATGCTGGTTGAAAGGTGCAAGGTTAAGTGTAACTTAAAACTGAGTCCCAAGATGCAGAACATTGGATGAAACATGTTCACAACCTGAGTCACACCACCAGGAGCCTCTCGGGATGATCTTCTGCCCTTAACAAAGATAAGGTACCAAACCAGTAGTGAGGGGAAGGGAAGAAAAAGAGGATAAAGTCCTTGAGAGGAAAGGCTGATAACTAAGTTCAGCAGTGAATCAGTACCAGCCCAAGCAAAAAAGTGCACGCTCAGGTGACACAAAAAATGTTGTGGCTTTGCTCGTTTAGGAAAAAACAAATACTTGCTAAGTAACACACATCATTAACAGCTGAGACACCACAACACAGTGTTAAAGATTCTGTGTGGTGCAACAGAGCGATGAGTGCACCAAACACATTCAATCACAGGAGAAACCCCCCGTGGAGCTCAGTCTAGCAGCGCAAACACTCCCATCTGCTGCTGCAGCCCTGTGCACACCAGCTCCTGCTTAAATAATGCAGAGCAATTCTGGCAAATGGGACTTTGCTCTGACTGGAAGGGCAGAGCAGCACCTTTTAAACTCCCTTCCATAAATGAAAATTGCAGCAAACATTGGCTTCAAAAGGTCTTGTGCAGAATACTTCATCAAAATAAACATCTTCCCAGCTTCCCCTGCCAGCTGACTCAGCACACAGCCAGCCAAGCTCTGAACTTGCATAAAGCAGAGTGGCTCTGTTAACCACGTCTGTTTGAGAAGATCACAAGTGCAGGTAGGTGGCAACCCATGCTGAATGCAAATAGGAGTGTACTTTCCTCTGTGCCAGGTCAGCACTGCTCCGTGTGGCTGCCCTGACACTGCTGAGCAGCTCTGCTGGCACCGGGGATACTAAATCATGACAAACCGGGGGCAGGGGACAGGGCAGGGACTGCATCACCACCCTTGGCAAACAGCCGTGGCTTTCCTCTTCCACTGGCAAGTAAGTTCTCCAACACTATTTTGGCAGATTTAGGCCATGGTTTTAGATGACATCGTGTTTGTAATCACTGGGACGTGTTACACACAAATGTGAGCTCCCTTCACACACCTCAGTCCTGCATCACCCAGCACCAGCTCTGGCAGCAGCCAGAAACTCCTCTGAACAAGGAAAACAATCCACATCCATCATTTCCTTTTCCCAACAGGATGCATCATATACCTGTTAAGTATCCCCTCAAACATATTTTTATTGTTCAGTGCAAACCCCACCTTCAAGTCACTTAGTAGATGGATCCCTTTGATTCCTCTGCCAGGTTTTTTTCCTTACCTTCTCTGAATCCCACGCTGCTTATGCTCTGAATGGTTTCCAGCACCAGATTAATGTGTCCCAATTAAAAGGGGAAAATAATACTTTCCTCCTTGAAGTCAGCTATTTCCTCTACTTAATTGGGCCACTGCAGCTCCTCTTGAATACGGACACAAGAACAGCTTGGAATGTCAGCAGGCGCCTCAGACTCCTCACTCCTTCTGCATTTCTGCCAGTCTGGGCAAGTATCACTCTTTAAATACAATTATGAACTGAAACAGCTTTAACAGCCACTCAGATTGTGTTATTCATTGCAGTTTTGCTTTCCTTATCAAACCACTTTGTTTTGATATTTCATACTACACACTGCTCCAAGGTATTACATTCCTTGCATAGAAATGCAGTAGAAATGACCCTGGGTAGCCGAGTCCCATTCTAACTATCCCAGGCAAACAGTTTCTAGGAGGGAAATGACGTTATCTAGGCCATGATAAAGCTAATTGTTCCTGCACACACCCTTTTATTGGGCTTTTCTTCCAGAAACTCACTCCTAATGGTTAGAAATTGCCTTCTAATTTTCAGGAGAAATTAGTGGTGTCCATGTGCCAGCATCATCCATTAGCTTATTAGAGTCCTGTCCCTAAGGTGTTTACACTGGGGTATTTACAGAAAGCAACCACATCTTCTCTGGGCTTTGTTGCATTTGCTAAACGAGCCAACTTGTCAAACGGTTCCATATAAACACATCCTCCATTTCCCCAAACACCTTCCCTACAAGTTTTTCCACTTCTTTCCCACACAGTGAGAACTGCACACATCACTCTCAGTGAGATCTCTCTGTGATGCACAAAGGGATTTTAGTATTTCCATCTCTACTCCAGGCATACCTGGAGCTGGAATTATTTTTCCTGACCATTTCACCTTGATGGCTCGGTCTGCCTGTGGTCAGACCTAATTGTTCAGCTTTAAGCTGGCAAACTTTTACTTTGCCAAACTCCTATGAGTCCCCAGGCATAAAACCTCACATCCCGAATCCCAGCTCATCTGGAGGACTGCAGTCATCATCAGCACACACTCTGACTGACCCTGTCCCACCCAACTTGCCTCATCAGCAAATTCCTTCAGTACATCAGCACTGGAAGGAGGAAGGTCTGGAGGAAATGTTTTAGCAAGTTCAGCCACAAGAGCCAGTCCTGAAATCCATCAATAACCTGCTTTGGACCAGTACTTCCCTCACAGGAGCAGCACCTTAGGAAGCTTCACAGCCAAGGAAGATGGTATTGGCAGATCTGAAAGCCATGGAAGGGATCTCCCGGCCCCAAGTGACTGGTTTAGTGACAGGACAGTTCAATACTTGCAACCATGTGCTTAAAATCGATGCATTTGACTTTCTACAGCAGTTGCTACCCCAAAGGTTCAGGACAAACATACAAGCATTTGGTGGAGAGAAAAAAAATTAAAAAAAAAAGAAGTATGAAGTCTACACTACTGTAAAAATTTCACTCTGTAATTCCAGTTTTATTTCTGTAGAAGACCAAAATAAGAATTCAATTTCCTAAGCTGCATGAGAAGCAATTTAGAGAACCATGTTGAGGAAGGATTATTAATTTTTCACCAACATTCCAGCTCACTCACCCAATTTTTATTTCTGTTAAACCTTTTACTTAACAATTTTCAGAAAATACTTTAATTATCTCATGAAATATGCCACTGACAAAGTAATCAGGTTGAAAATAGAGTCCAGCAGCACTGGCTTGTCCTGTCTACAATAAAAGTTATTACACAAGTCACACAGTACACAATTTAAGACAAGACCACCAGCACTAGGGAATTACAGTGGCTAAAACCACTTGTCTCTGCACTGAGCTGTGCTATAAAGAGACATATCAATAAAAAGCTTGGACACGTCTTCATGATCCCAGAAGAACCTGCTGATGAACCTCGTCCTGCCCACTTCAGCTGGAGTTTAAAGGAAAAATGGATAAGATGACTTAATTCTACACGCTGCAGGCAGCAGGTGATAACATGGTCATGACTTGTGTTAATCTCCCTCCTCAGCTGTGCCCCCATTTTATTCACCCCTTTTCTACCACAGAGAACTGGCTTCTTAAAGGCCCTTTGGGGTCGGGGTTGTTTGTTCCCTGTCCATACTACAGGGAACACCTCCAAACACCTCTGTAGTAAGTGGCTACACCAGGAGGTTTGTTAGAGCACAAAACTGCCTCTACATCTAAGGCAGTGAAGGCCAAGGGCTTCCAACCACTGTCCAAACTAAGAGCTGCCATGAAACCACTTTTTCCTACACGTTTATCTAAACACACAGGGAAAAAAAATGGGGTTTCTAAACCCCAAACCAACAAGTTGGTTCAGTTTCAGAGCATTTCCTCAATATCAAAGGGAAACGTTGGAGAAATGAACATGATGCAAAGTAGGGAGCAGACAGCTGAAACTGGAGGTTTTCCTAACAATAAGTTGAATGTCACCACAAGGCACCATGCTCAGAAATGAGAAGTCTGCTCCCAAATCCAGAGTTCCAGATGGTTTCAAGGTGCAGCCATAACCTTCCTGAGCTTTGTCCACAGAAAACTTCTCCTCCAAGTGAGGGTTCCTTTGATAACTACTCATCTACTGCAAACACATTGATCAAAAAGATAAAAAAGTTCCTGTATTTAAGCCAGGGTTAATTTATTAAGTAATAAAGTAATATCCTTATATTACCATTACACTTTCCTCCTATTAAAATTAGAGCAAGATTTCTACAAACTGCACTTCATAGGCCTTGTGTTTCCTCAAGGGCAGTGCTGGGAACAGCAGGCACTGCTCTCAGCCAAACCCCAAAAGCATGGAAGAACACAAAGACATGGAGCTGAACAAGAAGAATTTAACAGAAACTGTCTTTTTCGAGTCAGGCTTAAGCTTTACTATGTGCTGAAGTGTTGCAACAGAGTCAGGAGAAGGGTATTTTGTAACGTGTTCATAACCCCAGAACTGTCCTACTGGATTAAGTGTCCTGATAGACCAACGGACCCACACCCACAGTCTGACCAGCAAGAACTGATGTCCAAGAAACATTCTGTGTAACAGAACACTCTAATCTCTGTCCCAGCCAGCCCTTCCTCTTCAAACAAACAATACCTTCAGGCTTGCCATTGTCACCATCACATCGAAATGCCCCAACCAACGCTGTTCTTCTTCTCTAAGTCTGTGCAGGCTTTCGATTTCATTTATAGTATTTATGGCAATGCACCACTCCAGAATTTGCATATACACCTGTGGGACTCTGCCCTTCTGCTTTCACCTGCTGCCCAGCAATAGAAGCATTACAGATATCCAGAGAAATTATGACAAACAGAGATACTTTCCCTACTTGCCCTTATCACTCACTGTTCTAATTTTGATCAAGTTTTACATCACTTCAGTATAAGGGCTGTGAATCCATTAGGTCTCTCTTCCAATTATTTTGATGCCTTTCTCCATCATTTTAATTCTACAATATCCCTTTCAAAATGGAAATGCTTGTCTTATCACCATTTCCACTCCATTCCCAAGATGCTCATGTCTCAAATTCAAACACTGACCTAAAGTTCCCCCTGAGTTCCCATTTCCTTTTCCAAGAGTGTTTACCTTCCCCTTGCCTTTTTGACCAGTGCCCACTAAGGAGACATTCAGTTCACAAACCTACTTGCAATAATTTCAAGATCATTCCAGAGCGGTGACAGCTTGTTTAGAACCACCATCACCTCTGGGAAGTTACAGAAGTTTCCAGGATTTGTATTACTCTGCATTTTTATGTTATTTCAGCTGCCACATTAATCCCAGTTATGTGACATTGCATCAACTTCCTGCGGTCCACTTTAGCTCTGCAAAACCCAAATGGCTCATCTTCACAACAGCATTTCCACAGCATTCCCCGCTCTCCCAACAGTTTCTACGAACCAGGCTCAACAGAAAAAGCTTTAGGAGAGGCAATCAAATAAACCAGCTCTGAACTTCTCCCTGTAACTGGATCCAAGCTTTTTAATTCCCCAATTACATAAGGAAGTAGGTGTAATAAAAGATAGGAGCTCTCCCAGAAAACTCACTGATATTCTCAGGCTTTCACAGCTAAAACATTAATTACAAGCCCACTGACAGAACTGCAGGAACAAGTAAGAGAAACTCAAAGGTTGTGATAACCTGAACACAAGTTCCTGCAATAAGGCTGCTGGATGTGATTAAACCTGTGCTCAGCAAAGCCCTTGCCAGTGCTGCAAGCTGAGAAAAAAGGCCCTTCTGGAACTTCCTGATTTGATTTTAATACAGTACAGATAACTGATTTATAGCTAGAAATAATACCACTTTCCACATGCAATTGGATAAAACAGGTAACAAACAAAAAAAACCCAACAAAACCAACCAAAAAACAACTACTCAAAGTTATGACAGAAGCTTAAGGGTACAGGAGAAAAAAACTCTGATGTTTTCCTTTACCTTCATGATGACAAGCACAGGGTCTCTCACCATCACATCATAACAAGCAATGCTCTAAACCCTAAATTCAAATTTACAACACCACACCACAACAAACAAGTACTTTTTACAGGACTCTGCTTGCTTTTACAGGAGGGCTTGAAAAAATTGGACAGTGAACTTCCAAAACCTCAGCACTTCTGCACACATTTCACCACAGCGTGCTGTATGAACCTGGACAGCAGGGGTGGCGTTTTACTCTGCAGGGAGTGAAAATTGGGTATTTAACTACAATCTGCAACGTTTTACCCCAACTTGCTGCTGTACGGCAGAGTGCAGGGACATCAGCCCTGGAAAACAAGGAATTCCTGCCCTTCTCTGCTGGGAGCCAGGACAGGATGGGAGATCCAGGCCAGGTTGGAGCAACCTGGAATAGCAGAAGGTGTCCCTGCCCATGGCAGGGGGTGGAATGGGATGGGATTTAAGGTCCCTTCCCACACAAACCATTCCAGGATTCTATGGTTCCATAATCACTGGGCGTGGAACAGCAGGTACATTCACCCCTCGCCAAGGGCTCGGAACGCAGAAGGCAGCAGATCTCGCTCTTTTATTAAATTAGTGCATCATTACCAACGCTGAGCGTATCCCACCCCCTCCGCAGCCCTGTTCAACAACCGGAGAGGGGCCTTATCAACCTTGAGGAGTCCTTATCACCCGCGGGCATCCTCCCCGGCGCTCTCTGCTCGCCAGCCCGCCGCCTCCCCCTGCTCAGCCCCTGCCCGGGCACCGACACAGCCTCGCTGCCCCAACCCGCCCGAACGGGGCACTCCGGGCCGCGGGGGAACCCCCGAGCGGTGCCCGCGGCGCTGCCCCCGCGCCGAGGGCCCCGCGCCGCCTCACCTTTGAACAGATAGTCGTACTCGTCGTCGCGGGTGCCCATGGCGGGTGTCGGGGCGGCGGCGGGTCGGGAGCGCAGCGGGAGCGGGAGCGGGGCCGGGGCCGGTCCGTCCCTGCAGCCGCCGCGGCGCTTCCGCCCTGCGCGCTCCGCCCGCCCGCCCGCGGCCGCTTCCGGGG